TAAATCAGACACGGCATATGGTGGAGCAGACACCGAAGATGGTGGATCTGCTAGATTTAAAGGAAATGGATGACAAGTCGAAGGAGAAGGTATCATAACAATCAGTGAAGTAAGACAGAAGCTTGAGAAAATACAAGATGTGATGGAAATGATCAAGGAACAAGAGCACGCAAAGATGAGTATGCATTAGACAACAACATTTAGAGAAGGTAAGGCTAAGTTAAAAAGAAGAGATTGAGGTACGTACAAACTCACAATCACAAATTAGGAAGTCGAGTAAACATAAGAAATCAAGTATCAATCTAGAAATCGATGAAAAAGAAAGTATCAAAGAACCAAATAAATTTGAAGTGGCAAATATACTGAATGAAGAACCGAGCACTTCAAAATTCATCAAGGCAAAATTGGACGTAATGAAGAAGAAAAGGGTCAAAATGAAAAGTCGGTGTCGAATGGGAGAATTGAAGAATCAGCATTGCCTTTTGAAAGAAAATCCTGGAGAATTCTTATTTTGTCCCACTCCTTCAAGCAAGAATGGAATAATCTGGAAGCCATCTTCACTGCCATAGTAAGAATAATCTGGAGAAAGTTTTGAAAGGCTGGCTATACTAAAAGAATCAAGAAGGAGCAACAACCAACTCCAAACACCACCTTTAATATCTATATATATCCTTGCTTAGTGTATATGCACGTGTGTGCGAGGGAGACAGGATACATATATATAAGTGGTGTGAGTTGTGGAAGTGAGAGAATAAGTTGTTTTCATTTGCTAAATAATATTATAATTGGTTAGTGATTTTGGTGTGTGTATAAAATCCTATTTTGGTTTAAATTCAACATTGTATTCCTATCGAAGACTCAATATGGGCATGAAATTGCTTAGAATAGTAAGCAAGAAATGTTCTCCACAAATAGCTATACTTAAAATAAGAAAATTAAACATTTTTAATCTACAATGTTTGTTGGGGGAACGAACAAATTAACAAATAATCCATTTAATATGTACACTGTTTGTAGTCAACTTTGGAACCCAAGCAATATAAATATATATATACATACACACACATATTTGCTAATAATTACGGGTGCGGTTGGTTTAGTTTTCCATTTTTGATTTCAAAACGATTTTTAGTTTTCCCCGAAAATGGCGCGTTTTGGGCGTTTTCTACGTTTTGAGAATTTACAATTGAAAACGCTCAAAATGATAAAAAATCGTTTTGCATTTTCAGTTATAAATTTTAACTCGTTTTCGAAAATACATTTTAGAAAACGACGGACCAAACGTATTTTCCGCATTTTCAAAAACGGAAAACGAAAAATTGCCCGAAAACGCTAAACCAACCGCAGCCTACATTTTTGGCATATGATAAATTGATAATTCTCTTGTTAAGTACTGAATAATTGCTTCTTTGGATGTTAAGTTTCCTTTGGATTACTTCATCAAAGGATACCTTGCTGACGCCATTATTTGGAACATTATCTTATGGATGTCTTCATGTTTAATTTTGTGGTATATCGAAAAGGAAATAAAAGAAACAAACAAATAACAACAACAACAACACTCGACTCTTGACAAAAGCAATTGCAAAGAGTTTGGAGAATTCTATGCATCTTTGATCTACACAGATATTTCTTTTGTTAAAGGTTTGTCAATCCTTTCCTTCTAGAACTAAGGGCAAAAAGGCGACACATAAAATCAGAATGTTCAACTTTCAAATAGGTCAAAATTATCGGTGAATTAAAGTCATAAAGAAATAATATAATACTTGACCAAGTTCATAAAACCCCTTTTTCTTCTTTTTCAAAAATAAAAACTATTTTTTCCTAAATGCAGAAGTATAATATATACTGTGGGTCTATGAAGGCAGACATAATTTGGTACCCCGTGTAATAATCATAACACTTTCTAGTCTAAGTTCAATTTTGTTATGCGATTCAATATTGTAAAACAAAAATTTGTCAAATAACTTGACTAATAATTAAGTTGCTTTAAAGTTTTGACTCTTGCATTTTTTTTTTCTTGCTCATAGAATGGTAAATTTAGCAATTTTATCTAATAATAATGGTAAAAAATTATATGTTTCATAATTTCTTATTAAACTCACAATGTTGTTTAAATTAATTTTGATATAATATTTTATATGTTCATGTAATTTATCTATTTGAGACAATGGGTGATGCTACATGTACATTAGGGTATTCATAATAGTGTTCATCTCTTCACATGAAGGGGACCCACTTCCAATAAAATATAATTGATCCGAAGTGGGTTCTTTCGGTGCGAGGGATGTTGACACTGTTATGGATACTGCATTATGTATAAGTAGCATTTCCATTCAGACAACTGAGTATCGAGGATATTACTATATGTACATCGGGGTAAACACGCTCACATAGAAGGGACCCTCTTGAAATAAAATATGATTTATCTAAAATGGATTTACCTTCCATGTGATGGGAATCGATACCACTTGAAGTACAAGTAGCATCATCTTGGTCTACTCGTAATGTGGAAATAAATGCTCTTGTATGAGAAAGTTGAATTTAATTGGTGGGACAGAATTGTAACATAAAGTTCTATTGACCAAAATAATTCAACTGAACATATTGCTCTCCGCACGCGCACCCAAAAAAATCAAAAATAAAATAAAATGATGAAGAAGGAAAAAAAGGGGGGGGGGGGGGGGGGCAAAATAAAAA